TTAATAATATTTACTTTTTATGTATTTATCTATTTATATGATATATGTAACTATTCATATATGCAAATATTTTTTTCTAAAAATAATGAAAGAATTGTCTTATTCTTTCACTAATATGATCTTAAAAATTATTTTGAGGTAAATATTATTCAATTATATAACAATTTTAATAAATCATTTTAAATAATTTTTGTCTTTTTTATATATATAATTTTATATATATAGTTGAAAAATTATAATAAAAAATTTTCTAGACATTAATAATAAAAATTATAATTCTTTCAATATGTAATTAATGTTATATTTTATAATTTTATAAAATATTCCACAATTTTTTTATTTATGATTATTATGTCAGATTCAATGAATTAAATTTTATATTTATATAGAATTATATATAGAATATATATATATAGAATTTATATAGATAAGAAACTGTATAATATACTATTATCACAGTATCACATATTTTCATAAATATTTAATGATATATTTTGTAATTATTTATCGAAATTAGATAAAAATATTGCATATTTTTTGCTCAATATATTGTCAATGGAATAATAATCAATAATTTTATTATTAAAAATTTTATATCAAATATTTATTGTCCACTGTTTTCGCTTGCTTGTTTCTTTATGTTAATTAAAGTTTTCTATGATGTAATACACTTTGTCTATTATTAGTAAATAATGACTCATGAAAAAATATTATTTTTCTGATAAATATTTCATTTTTAAATCTTATATGTTTATCTACAAAATATGACATTTTTGTAAATATTTTATATTTTTTTTGTAAATATCTGCTATGAATATCTGCTATCTTAATGAATCAATGAATGAACAAAATGGATGAACTTCTTTCATTGAAACATATAGTCAACATTTTATACTAATTTAATATATTTTAATATTCAATACTAATTTCATTCTGTCGTTTAATATTAACGGATACAGATTTCCACAAATAACATCAATTCTTTATACATTTTCTTCGTATTATATGTTTTTATTTTGTATTTCTTATTTTCAATATTTCTTATATTGATAAAGTTTATATGAATGTAAGAAGGAAGAATTTCTGATTAATAAATTTTCTTTTGTATATTCATATAGCTTCTTTTAAATATCAATTAATTTGATCATAAATAAAAATTGTTTCAATTTGTTCTTGCTTGGAATATTTCATTGTAAAACATTTATAGATATATTAATTATTCTTTTTCCAATAATACAATTTAGATATAGATAAACTTATCTATTGTATGTTAATAAATAATTCATGATTTTTTGCTTCAACATTACTTTCTTATTTATAATATTATATAAGTTCATATATTTAATATCGATTCAAAATTTTATTTTTTTCATGTTCAAGATTATTTTGTATTTATAAATGTCATATGATCAAGTTTAAATGTATTTTAATATATATATATATATTACAATAAAAAATCAATGACGTAAAAAAATTTTTAGAAAATAATCATAAAGAAAAAAATAGTCTATATATTATTACGATATTCTTTTTCTAAAATCATTCAAACAGTGTTTGAAACTTTTTTCATATTGTTATTGTATTCATAATTTTATAAATTTTGTGTAATAAATCCATAACATTAGCCGGTATATATATGTATATATTCTTGCATTAGAAATTCATTTCCATGTTTTAATGTTTATTTGGATGAATATAATTGAATGACATAATAATTTTATTTTTATTTTTTTTTTTTTTGTAAAATCTTATCGAATGTTAATGTTTTTCTTTAACAATATCGAATTTTTTTTCTTTTTGCAAGATTTATAAACTTTTTTAGATATTTTT